AGAGCATTCGCCAAAGTTACATGATAGTTCTAGAAACGTTGCGTCACAGTAGTCACGTGACTCGCTGACGCAACAATATTGACTTATTGGAAAAAACTCAAAGGAGGGTTAGAAGGATGATTTCGGGATGGAAAGGTTACTTTATATGGCTAATTTAATATCTGTTAACTCATTTTCTCTTGGGAAAATTAAAAGGTGACTTTAATAAAGTTTACAAGATTTTCCCGGGAAATCGATAAGATAAAGGCTTCTGATTTATTTTTTTGCTGTGTTCCGAAGACGACAGGACGATGGAGAAGACACAAATTAAAAATTTGGAAAAGACGGGCTAGGCTCCATTTAAGAAAGATGTAAGGTGGTTGACTTGTGAAATGAGTTGTCGTCAGCAGTAATAGAAACTGGCATTTTTCAGGAGTTTAATAATGAAAACCATGATTTGCTATATAAAAATGGGTGGATTTAATTTTTTTACCTTTTCTGAAGGTTTGGTGTGCAAGGACAGCCATGAAGAACTAAATATTCTCTTATTGTCCGTATATTATATCATACATAAATAAGTGAAACTTTGTTATGAATTTGTGCTATGTATTGTTTTTATATTTTAGGGCTCTAATACCTTCTTTTGTGTAAATTGTAATACTATATATTTTGTGTATTTATTACACGTCATCCGTTTTTAACTCTGAATATATATATATTTTTTAATTGGTGAAGAACCTTAAATATGCGAAACCGCTAATGTTTACATCTAAGTATAAATCTCAGCTGGGGATTTTGTGTACTTCGCATATTAACGTTTTTGTTTTCAATTTATTCTAAGGTAAGAGTTTTCTTCACTGATCTCTGTATAGAATTTGTGGTTTTCTTGCTTTCGGTAAACCAAAGCAGAAATAAAGTAGGTGTCACTGAAGTCGAAAAAAATTTTTGTAGAAGTGGAATAAGTAACGAATGTGTTACGATTTGAGGTTGTTATTATCATTCATTTTTATATTCTGTTTTTAATGCAAAAGTTATAGGTGATAGCAATTTACATTATGTATAAATATTTATTACGATTATAATACCTATATCACACTAAACGGATTCGTATTTCAAATGATCAACCATTTGATTCCAATTTGCTACTTGGACAGGGTACGAAACGAATTTCAGCTACCTTTAGCGCGTAGGCCTATAAAAGTATAATTTATTAATTATAGTATAGGCTATTCCACGGTAGTGGTACTGATAACGTGAGTGAAGTAAAATTGAATTTTTGATCAGGCTTTGCTTATGTGCTCTAACATTAATTCCCTGGTATTCTTTGATAGATTGTTTAGGCAGAGTATTTATGATGAGTAAATTGAAATGGACAGCAAGTGCCTGTTGTAAAAAAATACAAGTTTAGAGGACGACGTTTCGAAAGTTCTCTACACATGTATTTTTACAACAGGCAGTTGACGTTCATTCCAGTTTACTCATCAATAATTCCCTGCTTTGTCAATCAAGTTGAACATATTTATTCGAAGTATAATATTGAGAATAAGAACATTCACTACAAGTTACAACTTGTTTTTGTTAATTTACTTAATAATTTTATTTAACACAGACAATTTAAATATGCATTATAACAATAAAAGTACTAGAATATGTTTCACTACTTATGTAACTTGAAAAAAAAATTGTGGTAATTTATTATGATGTGGATTGGCTATTTCAGTAGTTATACCCTGAACCTTTGAACATGTCACAACGTAATAAGACTAACAAATCTCTTGAATTTACCTTTGAACAATTTCTGTGATTATATGTCAAAAAAGCATATTAGTATGCCTTTTCACTGTAACAAATTACATTAATAATTGTGCCATTTGTTTAGAATTGTAATTTTGAATATGCTACTTATTTAATTTTTCCATTACCATTTATTTAGTAATGTAAAGCTCTTGATGGTATGTAAGGTTACTTCTAACTTATGTAATTTTTTATTACTTTCTTATTGTAAAATATGAGATCGAACTGCATTTTACATAGAGCATCAGTGAAAAACATTTAGTTCAGTGATGTATGTTATATCAAAATGATTTTTGGAGCCTCACCTTATCACCATCTCTGTTTATGCTCTATTTGATGAACATGCATATTGATAATAGCTCTGGAGAATATTTTCCAATGGAAAAAGGTTCTGTCATAAAATTGTCATGTCCAGAACTTGCCATCCCTCCATTCTTGCCTTCCATAATCCATCTCATTTTAGTGGCCTGATTACATAAAAATTGATAGGCACTGCATCCAGTGGCTTAACTGGTATGTTTTGTATGGAATAGCACAAATACCAGTTTCATTCTCCAGCTGCTTGATATATGTGAGAGTTAAGTATATATATATATATATAGTGAAAGCAATTGGTGTACATGTGACTTGTGTCACTTTTCCAGATGGAGATTCTTTTTGATTATGATACATACTGTTACCTGGGGCACATGGACCACTTTTGCTACTGATCTTTGTGTTTATAGATCTTCATCTGTTATAAGACTCTGCACTTTGCTTACCAAAACTAGGGTATGACTTGTTACAGGTCTCTCTGAATGTCTCTGTTGCTTAAACTTGATTCATATTCCTTTGTTTTCCAATGACATTAAACACACATGGGATTTCCTCATATTGGAAATTCTGAACATTTCTTAGTGTAAGAATATTTTGTGTTAGAAAGGGCACTTGTGTACCCTTCTCAAAGTGATCAGTTCTTGATGTCATCACATTACCTAAGAAACATCAAACTGTGTAAAAATGTACTACCTTTCATCAGGATTTTACAGTGGCCATGGTTCATTTTAATGTAATATACTCAACTTTCTGTAGGTTGCACATGACATTTGTTGTCTGGTTACTGCTACACATTGCTAGTTTAACTTATGATGTGTATTTATGAATTGTTTAAGTTCTGGACTTGACAGTACTGTCCATAATTTGGTTGGTATCATTAAGTTGCTTTTAAACTCTTAAGGATCATTGTGATAACTTTCTTATATTTCAGTTAATAGCTTGTTTTTAATATGTTTGTATTTTGTACAGTAATATATGAGTGTTCTTTAAACTTCTGTATAGAAAACTTAGGCAAAAAGTTATAAAATTAAATTACCATACAATATTTTTTGACACAGTTAAGGATTTCAACATAAGTTTAGTCAAGAGACAAAGAAGTTACCCTTATATGTTTTTGATGTTTAAAACATAACATCCATCATCAGAGGTGAAAAATTCAAATTGCAGTTCAAGAGCAATTCTAGACATCTACCAATTTTTATATGTTAAAAGATGGAAAAAAATACATGATCTAACTTACCAATTCACAATACATAAAACTGCCCTGTAAACAAATGGGATTAAGGAATTCTAATTATTATTAAACACAAAGTTCCAAGATTTTGTAATGGAACTTGCAGAACCAAAGTCTAAATTTAGATTTTCTTTTGAATACTTGCATTTTTTCATTAATTCATGAAAATTATGTTTTAAATACAAGAACAGTTAAACAGCAATTCAGTTTTGTGGCATATCATTATCTGTATTTACATGATGCTCAGATAGTGTGGACTCATAAGCTATTTTATTTTCAACATTTCTTTGGTGTTCTTTAATTATTACCTTTATATTTTTAGTATTCTGACAAATATAGATTTTAGCATGTGAACACCAAATCTTATAAAAATTAGAGCTGGGTGATTATGGAACTTGCTAATAAATGAATCTTATGGCTCATTAATGAATTATTCTCACAAGGTGACTAAAAATATATCTAAAAAAATCAATTATTCTTTCATGAGATTGCTAAAAAAATTATCTTATAATGCTAAAAATTGAGTTTTGAAACCCATGATGGGTAAACCACAAACAGCCCATTGTGTAGCTTTGTATTACACAACAAACAAACATAATGACAATATTTTGGATAGTTGGAGTAATCAAAAACAGTAATAGTTGGAAATACTACTTTAGATTAGTTGATTGTTTTTGTGACATCAATGATTTAATTGTAATTTTCATTACTGGATAGTTAGAATTATTGGAAACACAATTTTGATTATTTTCATGACATTAATTGTAATTTTGATTAATTATTTATTTTACATGGCACTAGTGAATGTAATCAATGCTCACAGGCAGTCATTTTTAATCTCCCTGCTGTAGTAGATTCCATATTTATCAAAAACAACAAGTGGGTCTTTAAGTGATAGTAAAACACCTTTAATATTTTAGTATTTATTTACCACCTTTAAAAAACAAGCTGTTTGAAACTGTTATTTACCAGTAATTAGAATTTTTTTGTCATGTTTTTATATAGGGCTTACATATTTATGTACTTCAGACTGATAATTTATATTGTTTTTTTCTCTCTCATTTTAATTTTATTCAATTATTCAACACTAGCTGGAGTATCCATTCACTGGATGAACATTATGTAAGTTCATGATTAATGAAATGTTAACTTAGGACATGAAAAGTTGCTTCCCTTATATTTAATTGTAAAAATGCAAAGATGCCCATAAAAACTACAAAACACAAAATGTGAAACAACAAATTTGCATGTATCTCCACATGGACCTAACAAACCTTCTTGCTAAATTTGGTGAAGATCCATCAACAGTGGGCAAAGTAGTGCTAAAAAATGCAAAAACTCCCAAAAAAACTGAAAATTGATATGTATTTTGCCATGGACCCAATGAATCTCTATAGCAAATTTGGTGAAGATCCATCCACAGGATGTGAGGTAGTGGTAAAAAATGCAAAACTGAAAGTTTGTATCTACCTACATATAGACCTAATGGACCTCCATACTAATTTTGGTGAAGATCTATCCACACCCTGCGAAGTAGTTACATGGACATACAACAGACTATTATATTTATATAGATACTGTATAATAAAAAATCACTAGCAATGTAGAATAGTTCTTGATTTGTAATTTGAATTTTTCACCTTTGATGATGGATGTTCATGTTTTGCTATCCAAAACATGCAAAATTTTCTTGACATATAAACTATATTTAAATCCAAAAAAAAACATGGCATGGATATTTAATTTTTTAGGAGTGTTACGTGTGTGTATTGTATATAGATTGACCTGTTTAATTGTTTGACTAAATTAGCATACTTGATGTTTTGAAGGTAGATACAGATGTGTGTGCTGGAACAACTGAAATGGATCCAACCTTACAGGTCAAGACCACAAGTATAGCTGATTCTAACATGAGTAATGATAGTAATCACATAACCAATGTTTCCTGTCAAATGAAAGAAAAACTCCATCTGCAATCACAAGATCTGTCAGATAGTATACAGAGTAAAAATGAAGCAACTTCTAAAACTTCCCCTATTAATGGTTGTATTTCAGATGGTCTCTCGTGTCCCAAGTCATTGGACTCGGCATCCATCAACGGTCTAGCGAAACATGCTCTTGAGAAGCTAAGACAGTGTGATTGTGTGTCTTGGGAAAACTGTGATCGCAGTAATATTTTCTGTTACAAGACTGACAAATTACACGAGAATCAAATTTTTCCAAATGAGAATTCACAAAACACTTTTGTAGAGGAGTGTGCACAAAAGTGTCAAAGTACTTTTAACCAAAATTTTGTGTGTGGGGTACATAGTAAGCCAGTCTTTGGACTAAGTTGCCAAACAAAGGGTGAAATAGATACTGCTGTAAGTACTTGTGGTAATGAAATTATAGGTAAAGAGCAAGAAGTAAAAAATAAAACTGTTGTAAATTTTTCATTAAAAGGCAAACTACAAGAGAGCTTAGTGACAAAAGGATGTGAATGTACTTCAATAACTTACTTTGGATATGAGTCTGAAGAACAGATGCCAGAAATAATCCAGCTCATACAGAAGGACCTATCAGAACCTTATTCAGTTTATACTTATCGATACTTCATTCACAATTGGCCAAAGCTTTGTTTTTTGGTAAGGTAAAAAAGTTTCTTTACCAAGTTTTTTGTGTATGTATATAAGAAAACTGGAGTATCAGACTCTTCTATTATTTTTCTCCTCTATTACTTTATTCTACAAATTTCATGACTTCAAAGGTCACTCTTCAGGATATAAATTTTCTAAGAATGTATAACAAAAACATACAAAAACCACTTTTCCACTATACATAAATAATCTAGATTAAATACATATATTTTCCAAATGTACAAACATATAATACAGTCCATGTATAAATTAACTACACTAAAAATGTTCAAAAATAAATAAAATCAGTCAGTGCATTTTCCTTTTTAAATTAAAATCTTATTCCAATTATACTTTCTCATGTTATTATAGAAGAGCAACTTCTTTATCCTAAAATTTCTTACTCTAACATACTTTTTGTCTTTTGTGTAATTCTTAGTAACTGTTTTCATGGTTTCATAATTCCTACTGACTTTACACAATCAGTTACTTCTGCCCTCTTACTACTATCTATCTAAAGTGGTGCCAAAACAAATTATAAAATATTTTTCGAAAATAATCTTTGATGTTTTATATTACACGTCCAAAAAGAGAAAACATGAGAGTTTGTTTCTTTTAGAATTTTAAATTTTCTCAAGATACATTCATTAAAATGTTTGCTGGCATATAGTGGGCTCTTTTTGGGACATCTAACATTGAATTTATGTAAATTTATCAATTTTACATTATCTGTTTCACCAGTATAGACTTCACTACAATTTATATTATCTAAAAGATACACTCTTGGAATTGCAGTTAAATGAGTTGTTAATAAAAAGAAAATTTCTTTATTGTTTAGGTAGTTTTCATATAACCTAAATTACATAAAACACAGTTTGTTCTGTCACAACTGAAAATACCTTCTTTTGATGTATTTAATAATCTATACAAATGTTTAGGTTGTCTTGATAAAATAATTTATTATTTTTGAATATATCTGTCAGTTTTTTTTATGTACTATTTATTATTGTTATAATTTCTTTATTTGCCTAACAAAATGTTAAAAAAAAGAAAAGAAAAATAAGGCTTAAACTGCCTGTATTATTTAGATACCATTATAGTTTAGAATTATAGAGTAGCTATTTTAGTTTGTTATATTTAGCTTAGTAGGATTAATGACTTGTTTTTCTTACTGCTGACACAGTTAAGCCTAAAGTTATGACATTAGGCTTAACCTGTTGTTTTGAGGCTGTAATACTAAGTTATAACAATATATCACAATTATTAAATATTAGATTAAAATAAAGAATTATCACAGGCATTCACTGAGAAAAAAGGATAATTTATTTATCTTAAGAGTTGAAATTACTGTTTATTATTTGAAAGCTTCAGAGAATTTAATACATTAGTAATTTTTGAAATTAGTAACTTGTTATATGTAAAGTTCTAGACACAGGGTATGTATCATAGCTGCATTACTGTTGAGTACTGGTATCAATATCAGGTAATAGAAGATTTTAGTGTTAATCTATAAACTGTGGAGTAGTTTAATGTAAATTAAACATACAGTTATTGGTTGCATAGATTAGAAATAAGAGATTAAAGACTAGTTAGGAAACTTTAATATGACCATAGGTAATTAAAATATAAGTGGGGTTGGAACTTATAGGGTGTTATCAGTGTTTGAGAATTGTTGGCATAATTACGATTTTCAAGAGGTTCAGAAAGATATGATACTCTACACTTGAAGAGTTCGTTTACATGAGGATAAGTTAGAAAATGTTTTGAGGAAGATTGTTCTGTTAGAGGGAGAAATAATAGATTAGGAACATAAATAAAGGAAACAAGACATGGGTTACAATAAAGGATGATTTTGGGGAGATGAGAATGAGTGTGTTGTGTTTACAAGAGGCTATAGAGACATGTTCAGTTAGTATCCAGGTATTAGTCTAATAGATTTGAGCCTTTGGTTGCTTGAAGTGAGGAATTAGATGATCAAGAGGTTTACATAATAGGAGACTCATTAAATATATATAGTTATTTGTAGTGGAAAGCATAGAATAACTAGGACCAGTTGATAAAAGTACAGGATAGTATAGAGTGTGTTGACAGTTTGCTGGTTTTTAGGAGTATTCTCTTTTTGTAGTGCATGTAGAAACAAATGTTGGAAGTCATATATCAGAAGAGTAGTTTTAAAATATAAAGAACTTCTTCTGAGGCATAGGGAGAAATATATATATATATGTGGCCCTTTTGGGAGTAGTGCCTCTTAGGCAAGATGTGATAATGAATTACTAAGCATGATCCAAGGCTTAAATGAAAGATTGTCAGAGTGACAGATGGGCTGGACCTCTGTGATGGTTTTCAGGGTAAGGGTGAATTATATGTTAAAGATGGGCTCCACTTAAAAGGGTTAAGTAGTAGGATGTTTGAGGAAGTTCTATAGTTGTTTACTAAAGATAGTATAAGCTAAACTTTCATAGTGGTGAGAGACCTTGAAAAATTGTAAATAGATAAACTGATAAGATAGGGCAATGAGGAGTTTAGAAAAAGACTTAGAATTGTAAGCTGAATAACAGTTTTTAAAGATCAATCTGTAAGATTAAATATGTACTGTGGGCTCAAGCCTAAACTTAGTTGATATAATTTTAATGTCAGGAGTGTTAGAAAGAAAATGGATGAGTTTAGAGCTCTAGTTGAAATGTAAGATTATGATATGGGAATTATTAAAATTAAGTTAGATTTGGAGAACAGTGATGTTAAGAATTATTTTGAAATTCCAGGATATTTTTTATTTAATAGTGATAGACATTTTAAAAGAGGATGTGGGGTGGCTGGTTATATAAGGGATGAACTGCAGCCTGTTGGGATGGAAGATATGTAATAAAAATGGTAGTTAAGAGGCTGATTGTTTATGGGTTACAAATTACAGTTCGGGATTTCAAAGGTAGAAAGGTTTAAATTGACAATTGTTGTTGGCCACTTGATCCGACAAATAAGTTTAATGTGAAATTGTTTATTATTAATAAGAATACTGGTACAATTATTTGGGAGACATTATTTCTGAACACACCGACTTGTATTGTAAAGATTCAAATATTGAGGAAAAGAGCTTTCTTGAAGTGATTAAGGATGGTTTTATATACTAAATGGTCAGAAGGGAAGCCATTTTAATTTTTTTTTATTGTTAATGAAGATACAGTTTTAAAAGATGAGAGAGGGAAACATTTTGGAAATTGCAATCATTGCATGATTAGGATTGATGTTTCCTAATTTTCAGAAAGCCAATTTTGAATCTAGGATACTGAGTTGAATGTTGCTTTGTAACAGATTTGGTAAATTTTTAAAAGTGCTTTTAATTTAAGATGGACATGTTCCCAAAAAAGAGGGGGGGGGGGAGTTATTAGGGAAAATCAAACTGAATTGGCTTGCTAAAAACATAATGGAGAAAATCATGGTAAATGTGATAAGTTTAAGATCTATAAGTTAACAGATAGGATGAAAGATTTACAGAACTGTAGGAAAAGTAGGGATTTGGTGAAAAAAAGGAGCTTATAAGAAAAATCTGGCTAATAATTCTCAGTAAGGGTTTTTCAAGTACAGTTATATGTTAAAAGTCAGTAAAATATTAAAATGAGGGTTGGACTCATGAAAGATGCTAGTGACAAGGTTGTTACTTTTTTTTCTTTGAGACTATAAGACACTTTTTTTTCAAGAGAGAACAATTTCAGTTTTTAACCTGTCCTCGTATGACAATCTTTCCATCCTATGTATCACTTCATTTAATAGAGAGGACCTAAAATGCTTATTGAAATTTTATAATATCGTACCAGTCTGTTTTCTTCATATCTCAAGATTAAAAATTTCTACCAGTCACTTCAGTTTTGCTTAACTTAAACTTGTGGATATTTAAGGATAATTGGATAACACTTGTTCATACTAATTGCCTTTCTCTGCTTCATTTCCAGCTGAACAGTGGATGATGTCATATTGAATGCATGCTTTTCTTTCTAATTATTTGATTGGTCAGAAATGAGATTCTTGTTTATGTAAAATACTTCTTGCATCGTATATTTGAAACTACTTAAAAAATGGAAAAATTAGTAATATTAATAACAACTCTGGCTTCATCTATAATGGAACAGTTAAATCCTTCTTGTTCCTTAGTGACAATGCAAAAAACATTCACCCATTTATGCATACAATGCTGACCTAATTTTAATTCCTCAGATTGGACCATATAGCCAAGCATAATGGTAAACAAATGATAAGCTTGGCCAGATTAATTTTTATTCCTATCAAGGGTAAAATTTGGTCCCCCCCCCCTCTTTTCCCCTGTCTTGGTTATTTGTAATCATTTCGAGGATGTTGAGATATTACACTATTATAGAATGACTTGGATAAGTTGATAAGTTAGACAAATATTTGCTAAATGATCTTTAATTATAGTAATTGCAAGAGAATGCATTTGGGTTATCATAAATTGGATCAAGTATTTAATATAAATGGGAATTAACTAATAGTGATCCTTAAGTAAAGGATTTTGACATAAGGGTGGATAAGTCACTCAAGCAATCTAAGCTTAAATATTTTTTTGGATAGTCATCATGGTTGCATTAGGTAAAAACCTTGCCTTAATAATCTTTTGACATTCTTTGAAGAGGTTAATGCTTATGTAGATGAGGGTGTGGTGTGGATTTTTAGAAGGCATTTAATAAGGTGCCACATAAATGCTTGTTAAAAGGATTTCTGTGAAGGTATTGGGGATAGGTTGGCTCATTGGATAGAAAACTGGTTGGATGGAAGAAACCAAAGGTTTGTTATAAATGGAGTTCAATCAAACTGGATTAATGTCACAAGTGGGCTTATTGTTAGGACCTTTGCTGTTTTTAACTTACATCAATGATATAGATGAAGGAATGGTCAATAGATTATTTCAGTTTGCTGGTGACGTTAGAGTTTTGGGTGTTGCCAGCTGTGAGGACAAAGCTGCTACCTTACAAAAGTATTTGGATTATTTAGTGAATTGGCCAATAAGTGGCAGATGGGTTTTAATTATGATAAATGCAAGGTAGTGCATGTAGGATATCACAGTTTGAATTATGGGTATAATTTTGATGGGGATAACTTTAACAGTGTTATGGAAGAAAAGGAACTTGGAGTTCTGGTTGATCGATCTCTTAAGCCATTCAAGCAGTATGCTGTTTGCTAGTGGCAGGAAAAAGAGAAATATTGAATACAAGTCTAAAGAGGTTATAATGTCACTGTAAAAATCATTGGTTAGGTTACATTTGGAGTATTGAGTTCAATCTTGAGATCCTTACCACAGAAAGACATTGAATTGTTGGAAAGAGTTCAGAGGAGGGCTACTACTACTAGGATGATACCTGGGATGAAAATATTGTCATGAGGACAGGTTAAGATCTCTTAAATTGTTTTATCTTTAAAAGAAAAGAGTTAAAGAGGATCTGATCGAGGTGTTTAAGATTGTTAAGGGAATTGAAACTGTTGACGTATCATCTTTTTTCATACTTAATGGTGAGAATAGACAAGGGGACACAAATATAAATTTTTTAGGGAATCAGTCATCTTCAGCTAAGACAGCTTTATTTTTCTAACAGGGTGGTTGGTATCTGGAATGAGTTTCCTTCTGATGTGATAAGGCTTGATAAATATTGGAATATTATAGCTGAGGTGTTTTTTTTTTTTAGACTGGGTCAAACTACATAGAACATAAAATAATTTTATAAGATTATATATTCTTATGTAAACTTAACTAAGATGTACTCTAATTGTCTTACAGCTCAAGCAATAAACTTCCAACATAATTCAGAATCATCCTCACTATAATTTTTAAACTTTTAATTAACAAATGCATAAAGAGCCCTAGCTAAAGAATCTGTATGTAGCAGTTATACCACAGCTTTACATGGCTAATGAAATGGAATGAAGCTTGCCGTACATGAACTACAGTATTCCCACTTTCATTTACAGAGAAAAAAATCTTAAATTAGGAGACTGTGCCTTGTATGCTGGAGAAGAAGGTATCGGACATCTTGAAAAAATATAGTTTTAAGCTGCTCTTTCAAGAAGTTCAATAAAAATTTCTGTTTGTTTCCTTACATTGATATCAATTTTGTAAGCACTTTTAAGGTTCTGTTTCAGCCAAAAAATAATAATTTCATACAAAAAATGCACACACTTTTGCACACACACACATCCACTGAGCTCGCAAATCATGAGGATAGAATAAATAAATATTTGCCAATATGGCTGGTACCAATATATTGGTACATTCCTAATACCTGTATGAGATATCTTCACAGACATCTTACTTTATCTTCTCTCTACCACAAGCAGTTCATGGGATTTATTTGACTGTGTGTGCAAATTGTATACTGAGGTGTCTGTATTCTATCATTGTATTTACTATTTTCAGAGTAGTATTTTGTTTCTTTCCTAGGCCATGGATGGGAAGAAATGTGTAGGGGCCATTGTTTGCAAGCTGGATGTTCACAAAAAACTGATTAGAAGAGGCTATATTGCCATGTTAGCAGTGGATGAAAACTATAGAAAACGAAGAATAGGTATAGTTGAAAATGTGTTTTTAACCTTATCATACATAAACACATGATTTAGTATTGTATTGGTATGTTAAATATACTACAGGTGGCAGTATAAATATTTTATACATACATCTTTGTATGTGTGTATTTGTATACAATATTCACAAAAGAATAAATGATAGTGAAATTTTGGTATGTTTTTCAAAGTTTGAAGTAAAAAATACACATTAAATATTAAATATTGATGAAAATTGTTTATTACAACTATCACAGGTAAAGAGAACCAAGCAAGATGAAAATTCATTTAAAAGTAATAAAAAAGCAGAACTAATGAAAAATGCCAATATTTTGCTGTACAAATATGAAAGAGAAAACTTGTTAAGATGAACAAAATGAGTCTTTAGTAGCTGGTAGGTCCCCTCTATTGTTTATGACTTCTCTGCACCTGTTCCCCATACTGTTTATGACATTTCAGATGACTTGCTGGAGCAGCACAGTCCACTCCTGGGTGAGAGCAGCTCTGAATTCCTGGACAGTTGTAGGAGTAAGTTGTCTGTTTCAAACTGCTCTCGCTAGCAAGTTCCACATATGCTCAATCAGATCTATGTCTGGTGACTTAGCGGGCCAGTCCATACCTCTCTTCCTTCATCCTGAAAACAATTCTAAGTGATCCTGGCAGTGTGAGGACGGGTGTTATCCTGCTGATACACGAATTCATCCCCAACAGCACCAACAAAAGGGTGAACAATGATTATCAGGGTCTCATCCATGTAATGTCTTGCAGTCAGAGATCCTCCATCCCCCACGTAGAAGTCTGTACACCCCTACATGCAGATGTCACCCCAGACCACGATTGAACCATCCCCATAGGCATCATGGTAGACAATATTACCGACTAATTATCATAATCCTTTACATCTCCAGACCACTACATGTCGATCACTTGAAGATACACAGAACCTACTTTCATCTGTGAACAGTAGAGGGGTCCATTGTTAAAGAGTCCAGGTGACATGTTACTAGGATAATCCCAGCCAGTCTGTTTGGTGCCTTGGGATTGGTACAGGGGCTCTGACTGGTATCCTGTACCTGAGGCCCCTGGCACTGCTGATGTGGTTTCTATGGGCTAAATTTCTCAGATATCACTTGTCTACTGCACCTATAGCTCTTTTGTGACCCTGGCCTGGCCTGGCCTCCTAGTGTATTTCCCTGTGGCCTGGTATCTGCATCACAATCTACAAACCACAGATTGTGACACTCCCATGACCTGTGCCATCTCGGTCTGTGTGCAGCCCTCCTGAGGCTGTGTGATGGCTCTGCAAACTTCAGTTTCAGTTAATTGGTTTCTAACAGCTTGCACACTCTCTGCAAAACTCATCACCAGCATCTTTTGTAATCAATCAAAACTAGCCTTTTGCTTTGCAGAATTTGGGTCATTTCTCATAGAGGTCTAGTGTATAAAGAATCATTGGTGCATAAACTTGCTAACCCTAGGTAGGATTAATGTAATCCTCTACAAAAAGCTTACTAAATTTGAAAAAGTTTATAACCTAAAAGTATACAAATCTAAACAAACCTCATTATCTTTCAATTTTTGTGAGTAATGTGTATGTATGGGAAGTTAGTGATACTTAATAAGAATGACTTATATAAACTAAGTCAGTGTCATGTCACCACAGATGAGAGCTTTGGTGCCAGAGTAACTTGATTAGTTTGTTTATATTTGGTTTCTAACCATTCAATAATGCAGTGGTGACACAGGTAGACTTATGACTAGAGTATATGTCACAGCACTTTCTGGGAAAGATTTGCCCTTAGAGGAATAACAAAGACAGGTATTTGAAGTATATTAGCATTAACAAGGGAAGATCAGGAAATCCACGTGAGGTTCAAGGTTCAAATCTGGTATCTACTGCCCAGCAATCATGCTGGCCAAAAGAACATGAGTATTTATCATAGCAAACAAAAGCTGTTTATTCATAATCAACCATGTATACAGATCATTTTGATAGCAATTGCTGTGGGTTTGTTGAATTGTAAACAACCTTCTTGTAACATTGTATGCATTCCCAACGATGCTGTGCACTGATTAGACAGCAGATAGAACTGCAAGCAATGCTTTACTTCATCAAACCCCATCATATTTCAGATCTCAAAGTATTAATAATTTATCACACGTTGAGTGTCCTGAGTAAATTTCTTTCTATATTGTTGTTTTCCATGCATGTTATGTCCTAATATTTCCAATGGCTAGAAAAGAAATAAAATCAATTCTGAGTTGTTCTCGTATGGTATTATGAAGCTGTTAGTAATGATGTAGTCACCGATAGGAAAGCATTACATCCGTGAATTGGGGACTAAACAATAACATAATATAATTAATGGATGCTGTTGTTTACTGTAAAAAATAAACAATCTAAACATGAGATATTAACAGTGCTTCCACCGTAGGTCAGTATTTATGCATCTTGAATAAAATATATTTTTTTTCCGAGGACAATTATTTGATAAAATATTTTGGTTAAAATATTTTTTTAAAGATAATTGAATATTTTCTACTTGGTAAATTGCTAATGTTGAAACGACCACATGATTGCCATTTTTTTGTTATCAACCTATGCTGTAATTGCTCTCATGTAACTCAAATGAATTGATACTCAAATAATAGAAAAACGTTTTAGTATCAGTGATAACGGTAATAATATCTTTATCTAAAACATATCACTGTTCCAATTAGAATTAATTAAATAACTGTTTGCCAATTTATTTATGTACATTGTTTGGATGTGATAAACATAAAATATTATTTAACTCTTTTCAACCCTGGCTCGGTCCCTAGGACCAACCTCGTAACCATTTTGTGCTT